CAGTGCTGTTTTGTATTACTGCATTGTTTATTTTATTTTTATTTTCTTCCCTAATAAAGAACTGTTATTCCTATTCCCATATCTTTGCCTGAGAGCCCCTTACTTTCAAAATTATAATAATTCAGAGGGAGGGGATTTGCTTTTTCCATTTCAGAGGAGGCTCCTGTCTTCCTCAGCAGATACCTGTCTTTAAGACATCTATCCCCTTGGGAAAAGCACCTCTGTGCTGGGATCCAGCCACAGGGACCTTCGATGCCACCCAGTCCTGCCCAGGTCAGACACACACAAGCCCCACCACACACACCCTGGGAGGAGATCCCTGACTTACCACACAACTTCTCCGTGTCCACGTTACTGCAAAAAACACAAAAAAGCTCCTGTTAGATAGTGGAGCTGGTGTGGGGGAAACAGTGGTGGTGAGCTGGGGTTTGGGGGCTTGTCTTGCATCCTGGTGGGTTTTCATGTTCATGTATTTTCACATGAAAATACATGTGAAAAATAAGGAGCTGCACAGATTCAGAGCCAGCAGCTCAGGAGCCATTCCCAGCCCCTGCAGCACCCAGGGGCTGAAGGAGCAGGAAAATCTGCTCCACCAACATCTCCTGGAGCTAGAGCGTGCAGGGAGAGCATCTGTGCCAACAGAGTGGGGTAGGGATGGAGATGCTCCACACCCTTGGCTGGCCAGCTGGGTTGGCAGCCCCATTTCTGAGCCCTGGAGCTGCTTCTTCAACCCAACCTCTTCCCCCAAGGGTGGGAAGCATCCAGCCAGGGCTCCCTCCTTGTTCATCCCTGAGCTCAGCCCAGCTCCTCCCCATGGCCAGAGCCCCTCCAGCTGCTCCTCCTCCTCCTCCCTCCCTCCCTCAGAGCCCAGGTGCTGTGGGGCTGTCTGCAGGATCCCAGGGGCTGGATGACTTCACAGAGGGGTTGTTCCTGCCCTGAAGGCCATGACAGCAAGGATCTGGCTCCAAAATCCTGAAGGCAGAGGCTCAGAACCTCACCCTTGTCACTAACAGAGAGCACTGCACAATCCCCCCCAGCATCCCTGCAGGGCTCTGGCAGATCCCTCCTCTGGTGCTGAAGGTGCTGCTGGGGTGGAGAGGGAGGGGGGAATGTTCAAAAAGAGCCCCAGGTTTTGGGATGGGCCTGCATGGTGCTGTAGGATCTGCTCAGGTGGCCCAAGCCACGGAGGCAGAGCTGCTCTCAATGCCAGAGCCTGCAGGGACAGAGCCCAGCATGTCATTTATTCAAATCAGCCTCTGCTCAAGGCGTTCTGCTGCCTCAAAATCCCCCAAATGATTACATCCAATTTTAATCCTGATTGGAAAAGTGGAAGAGAGTCCCAAAGAGAGTTTTTCAAGTGTTTTTTAAGTGTTTAAGTGCTGTCACACATGGAGGAAGTGGCGGTACCTGGAGCTTGCCAGGCTCTCAGCACAAGGAAAGCTGCAGTGCTGCTGCCCAGGGTGTGGGAAACCATGGCCACATCACCCTGTCCCCCCTCTGACACTGCAAAAACAGGGCAAAAACACCCCCATATAAAATAAGAGAACAGTGTGTGAAGTGCTCAAAATGCCATTTAAGGTGAAATAATTAAGGCAAAAATCTTCCTACAGCTGCTCCCGAGCCATCAAAGGCTGTTTCTGTCTCCCCCTTTCTTCTGGGCTTCCATGGAGAGCACTTTAACAGCAGGCAGAGGTTCAGAGCAGGGGAATATTTTGACCTGAGGGGTGGCAGAGTCAGGGCAGAGGTGCAGACCCTCTGCTCTGGGAGTGCACCTGGAGCTCTGAGGCAGCAGAGAGGGGCAGTGTGAGGCTGGGATTCAGCTCAGCTATTTTAAACACGCAGCAGCTGATTTAGGCAGGGCTCTGCGCACTGACCTGGCACTGCAGGCACTTTTTAAAGTGGATTTAAAAAATCGTGTTTCCCTCGGGACTCAATAGAGATAAACCTGCAAAGCCCCTTGCTCTGCCAGCTCCACTCTGCCCAACTTTGCTGATCCCATCTCTGGCAGCTCTGCCTGACACAGACACTGGGGTTTGGGGCACCAGTGTACATTGCAAAAAGGTTTTGCACCTTCTGAAGTTTTCCCCTTTATTTCTGGCAACTGCCTGGAGCCTGCAGAGCTGCTGCAGTGCTGCAAGAGCCCTGGCACTGCAGCATGCACAGCACAGCCTGCCAGAGCAGGGCAGGGAAACCCTGGCTCCCACCTGAGAGAAGGGTAAAAGCCACCACAGAGGGGATGTGGACACCTGGTGCACACGTTATCCAGGCAATTGCATTGCTCCCAGTGAGCACCTGGGGCTGGGACTGGTTTCAGCAGGAACAATGAGCCACCAGCTCAGCTCACTGCCCTTCCCAGCAAGGTGTGACAAGGAGCTGCCATCAACTCTCTCCCTGTGGCTTGTAAGGTTATTAATAACTCTTTATATCTTGGCTGCTTGCTGCTTAAAAAGAAATGTTAACTAATCAATCACTAAACCACTGAACATTGAACCAATCAACAACATCTCATGGCAGAAACCATCCCTCTGGGAGCTGTCCAGGAGAAGATCTGCTCCCTTTTCCCCCTGATGCAGCCTGCTCCATCAGCAGCCCTGCACGGGAGCCTCTCCCATGTCCCCCAGCCTGAGCAGCCCCAGGGCACAGGCAGGGCAGGCCAGAGCACAGCAGGCAAACCCCAGGGCTGCTGGGGCCATTCCCATGCTGCCAGAACTCGTTCACACCAAAAACCGAGTGGAGCTCATGGGCAGAACGTGCACACCAAATCCTGACCCATTTGGCAGGGCTGCCAGGGGCAGCAGGCTTTCCTCCCTGCCATTCCCACTCCAAGAGAAGAGCCATCCTCTGCCTCCAAAGCACTCATCCTGAGACTCTCCACATTTCCCATAGCTGTATTTTGACTGTGCTCAAACCACTGATTAACTGTAATTAAGCCTGAACTGATGATGGAGGAGCTTGTCATCATTATGCTGTTGGGATTTTGTCAGAATGTGCCTGGAATTTATGCAAGAAAACAGCAATCAGCTGCAGAAAAGCAGACGGGATTTTTTTTTTTTTATCATTTGTCATGTTGGGAACCTCCACTGCCATTACAGATCTGGTTTCCAAATCTTTTTTGTGTGACACGGAGTGTTTCAGTCACTCTCCATCATCAGGGGCTGGCAGATCCTGCAGAGTCTCTGAGTAAAGAGAGAAGGAATCCACTCAAATTCCTTCTTCCAGACACTCACAGGCTTGAGGTTATTTCCACCAAGGGACTTCAAGGGGCACCAGGTCAGCACTTCCATCCCCTGTGCCTCCAGGTCAAAGGCTCTGAGCAATCTGCACCCAATTCCTGAACACCCTCATGGAAAGATGCATTTTCTGAATTTCCCCAACAGGTCCAGAACAGAAGGACAGGTAAAATCCACCTGCCACCCAGACTGGGAGGAAACTGCAGCCCCTGGTCCCCCAGCAGCACCCCAGTGTTTGGACAGACCCCAGTTCCTCCCAGTGCCAGGACAGCCTCACCCACAGCAACCAGCTGGGTACAGAGATCCCAGAGAGGCCAAAAATACCCAAAAATCTGGGATGAGAATCCCAGCTGAGCCCACTCACAAGGAGATCCGAGCTAATCCCAATTCCTTCTCCTGCTCTTTGGGGCTTTCTTTGTTTTTTTTACAAGTACATGAATGTCACACAAAGCAACCTACAACTGCTATGCATATTTTACCATTATCAAATCCATCATAAGTGTAGGTACAGAGAAGTGGTGGTGGTAGATCTAGCCAAATGCTTTGGACTCTATACCTCACAAGCATTTCAGCATTAGGCCTACAACCTTTCTTTCTTATTTTCATTTTAAGAACAAGTATTTTAACGAGTATTTTAAAATTCCTCACTTCTAAAGATTACTTAGCCCTTCCAGACAGGGAATATAGTTTTATGTGACTTTGTACTGCCCTAAATTCCCCGTTACACGCACCAGGCCCGCTTGGGGTGGAAAGCAGCTCTTACATAAGTGACAAGCAGCTCCTGAGTCAGCAGTGGCAAAGTCTGTGACTGCCCAGCCTGTGCTGTGTCCCCACACCAGCACACACTCCTGCAGACACACAGCTATTCCAGGAGTATATTTTCCAGAGCAAAAGAACAGCATTTTCAATGCCTGCTCGCTTTCTGGAGCTGCAGAATACAGGATGGTGCTCTCAAAATGTCTGACTGCTCTCAGCACTCGCAGGGCTCGCTGCTGGGGGCTTTGAACACCTGCGTGTGGCATGAGGTGGGTTTGTCTCACCCTGACTATTTATCACACCCTCCTCCCAACGTCCTCCACCTCCAGGCAGGCAGTTTTAGCTTCTCCCGTGTCTCCTCCACGCTACTCACTCTGAGTGACGCCTGTCAATGCCACTGAACAACTCCCACAGCTCCTCCGAGCTCAGGATGCCATCAGCAAAGTAGTTCTTGAACTCCTCAAATGACAGCTTCCCATCATCTGCATTCAAAGAAAAGGGGAGAATAATTATGTGTCTGTGGGATGGCTGGGCGTGCTCTGCATGAGAATCACAGCGCAAATCTCCCTGAGAGCGTGGCCCACCAGCCCAGCAAAAACACAGAGTGCTGCTGCTGGAACTGCAGGTGGAATTGCAGCCCTTTCCTAGAGGCCCCACTGTGGTGTTCTCAGAAAGGCATGCAGACTGTCCAAGAATAAACAGCACACTGAGGGCAGCATCAGGTTTCCATGGAAAGAAAGTGCTCTCCATGGACTCAAGAGCTTTCTCCTTCCTCTCTGTGGAGGACTGCAGCTCCTGGGCTGCATTGTGATCTGCAATAAAAGCATCTCCTAAGCTACCATGAAGAAAAAGAGCCCAAGAGAGCGTGGGGCTCAGGGAAACCACTTGTGATTTTGAACCTCTTGCTTTATGGGTGCTGGACTAAAAACTGGGCAGCAGAGCCTAACTCCCAAATGCCAGGGGCTCCAGGGGCACCCAGAAACAGGATCACCCAGCCAGGAGCACCTGTAAAACCCTGGGCTGAGCACAGAGACAGAACCAATCCCGTGAGGGACCAAGCAGAAGCCAGCCAGCCCCTGGGCAGGAGAAGGGCTTGGAAGGGGCTGTGTTCTGCGTGGTGCACGGATGGGGAATGGGGGAGCCCATTCCCCAGCCCCTGGGCAGGCTCGGCGAGCCAGGTGAAGCAGAAAAGCATTTTCCACCCTCCCTCTTCCAGCCAAACCTCGCCGTGGGAATGAGGCACGCTGCTTCAGCCAGAGGCAGGCACAGAGCACTCACCGTTCTTGTCGGCTCGCCGGAAAATCTGCAAGACAAAACACAGCCGGGCTCAGCGTGGCAGCAGGGAGAGAAGGGCAGCTGAAGAGAGAGCCAGGCAGCACCCAGCACCACGGAAAATCACCTCCAGGAGCTCAGGGGGAAGCGCCAGCTGCTGGGACTGCACAGGCTGCTCCGGGAAATTCCCCTTTGCCAATGACTAAACCCATCTCTTGCCTCTAATGCACAGAGCCCCTGGCTGAGAGAGCCTGGCACTCACAGCAAGCAGCTTTAGAGAACACAGAGGCGAAGCAGAAAAGACTTTGCTACATCCTTGTGATGGCAACTCTTTGATTTTTCAGTCCATTTAAACGAAAGAACATTAGGAACAAGCCCAGTCTGTAAGGAAGCACTTTGTGCTTCACCAACACTCGAGCAGCTCCTGCCCTGAGCTGTGTAACCCCCCCTCAGCACAGCCCTTCCCGCAACACCTCGGTGTGCACACTCACTGTAATTAATTATTGATTAATTCATTAATCTGCAGCTGCTTCTGCCACAGAGCACAGCTGGAGAGCTGCTCCAGTTCAGGGTCTCGATGCAGGCTCCCAACCATGAGGCTTCTGCCCTTCACCCAGGAGAAAGCTGGGGCTGCTCAGCCCTGCCAGGATCTGTTTCCTCAGGAATTATTGGAAGGTCTGGGGCTGACCCTAGTGAGGAAAAGAATCACTTCGGGCAATGTTTTCCCAGATTAAAATGTTTGAGGTATTGTCCAGCACATCCTAATGGAGGCAACGACATACAATTTTCTATGTGGCAACTGTCCTGTATAGCATCCTGGCTGATGAAGAAATCTGCAGGTCTGAAGAAAGATTAGGAAAGAAAATAGGGCTGGGAAAGGAGACAGAACTTTTCTATTCTTGCCCCCCCATCCCCTGGGATTCCAGCCAGCCAGGCTACTGCCCCGCCAGCATTTATTACTAAACAGCATTTATAAAATAATATTAAACAGCATGATAATATTATAATTAATTATTATAGCTATAATATAATAATAAACAGCACTATACATGTTATAATGCTATAATTATAACTATAATATGTATTATAATTATAATGTAATAATAAACAGCATTTATTTCCTGCCAGGAAAGGGGGGTGGGCACTCCCCTGAGCATCACACAGCACCTGCTGCATGCAATGTGGAGCTGAGAGAGGAACCTGCTGCTCCCAAACAGTGGCGATTCCTCTGGATTTTAAAGCAAAGCTTTCTCCAGGCTAACGGGCTCCTTGTGGGGGTCTCACGGCTGCAGGGAATGGGTTGCACCCTGCCATGGACTGTCCATCAAGGGAGAAGCTTCATCCTGCAGAGCTCTGTGGCATCAGAGGGACCATGGCTCATGGAATGACACCTCTATGGCTCCGGGTGTCACAGAGGTCACCCAGATGATCCCAGAGCCAGTCAAGTGTCACCCAGGCACTTGGAGCAAGGACAAACATTTCCCACTCACGGGCTGGCCTTGCTCAGCAGGGTTTATCTGCAGGCTCAGAGGCAGAACACAATTTCAGGGGAGATCCCCTGGGGCTGAGAAAGTCTCTAATCCGGGGCGAGCCCATCCTGAGTGTGGCAAGCACATTTCTCTCCTTCTCAGGATTTTTCATAGAGGTGCACAGAGAGAAATGAAAGAGAAAACAATTTCTATTTCTGCTCCTTGTTTTTCCTATGTGGAATGTGTTTGGAGAGCTGTTTACCTGGGGTGAGTGCTTGATTGGATTCTGGTGAGGATTGTTTGAGCCTGATGGCAAATCCAACCCACCTGGGGCTGGACTCTCAGAGAGTCCTCCCATGAGTTGTGGGAGGGTTAGAGTCAGAGAAAATAGAATGTAGTTTTAGTATCCTCCTTTTATATAGTATATTGATAATTTAGCACAGGTATAATAAAGAAATAATTCAGCCTTCTGAATTGAGCCAGACATCGTCATTTTTTCCCATTGGGTTCGCCTGCATTTCCAATACCTGAGTTCAGCAGGAGCCTCAGCACACAGAGTAGGTGTCTCTCCCTCGCTCACAAGGCTCACGAGTTACACCAGCCAGCACACACACGGCAGCTCCTGGAGCTCCAGGGGACCGTGGCACCAGCAGGAGCCCTGAGTGCCCCCGGCATGGCAGGGCTCGGCTCCGGCTGCTGCAGCCAGCCCGGCCCTGCCCGAGCCCAGGAGCAGCTCCAGCCCAGCTCAGCCAGCACAGAGCCACTCCAGCCCCACAGGGCGAGTGCTGTCCCCTCCCTGGGCACAGCCATGGCAGCCAAGCCAGGCTGGGAGTGGGATTAGGTCTGCGTGGCTGCTGGAGGGCCCTACAAGCATCCCTCTCTTGCCTCAGGACAGACTGGCAGCCTCAGAGGCACAGGGACACTGCCTGGAGCCCGGGATGCTTCCCTCAGCCCTCGGCCCTGTGCCCAAGCAGCCGCAGCCTCACCGGGCCGGAAAACAGCATTTATTTATGGGATGAGCCCCACACGTACCTGGGAAGGAAGGAGATGAGAGGATTTATTTATGGGATGAGCCCCACACGTACCCGGGAAGGAAGATTAGGGGATTTATTTATGGGATGAGCCCCACATGTACCCGGGAAGGAAGGAGATGAGAAGATTCATTTATGGGATGAGCCCCACACGTACCCGGGAAGGAAGG